CCTGACCTAAAGTCAATCTTGCTGAAAACACAAGCATCCACCAACTGATCCATCAAATCATCGATCCTCAGAAGTGGATACTTATTCTTAAGCCACCTTATTCAACTGTCTATAATCTACACACAGTCTCGTACTTCTATCTTTCTTCTTGACCAACAACACAGGCACACCCCAAGGTAAAACACTTGATCTCACAAACTTCTTATCAATATCTTTTCCAGTTGTTTCTTTAAATCGCTCAACTCAGAAGCTGACATCCTGTAAGGAGTCATCGATACTTGACTCATACCAGGCACCAAATCTATAAAAAAATAGTTTTCGTTGAGGAGGTAAATTAATGATGTCATTTGGAAACACCTCTGGAAATTCACAGACAACGGGTAATACCTTATTTGCATCTTTACCATCAACTTACAATGACGCAAACATTGCAAACATCAAGGCTTCATGTTCTAAAAGTTCATTCACTTGCTTAGCAGTAAACAACACCAATTCTCCATTATAACCAAACATAGGGAACCTTAGAGTCTTATTATAACAATTGATATGAACACGGTTGAACTCCAACTAGATCATTCTAACGATAACATCGATGTAGTGTAAGGGTAGACACACCAAATTCGTCATAAAAATCTTGCCATAGATAGTCAAGGGACATTTCTAACAAACATAAGTATTAGTAACAGAACCACTAGCAAGAGTATCTATTACCATACTACTGTTCATATCAGACAATTTCAATTTCAACTTAGTAGCACATTCAAGCGAAATAAATGAATGAGTAGCACCAGTATCAATAATAACAACCAATTCAACATCATTAATAAAACAAGTACCTCAAATCAAGTAATACTTCTTGGAATCTTCAAATCCACTCAAAGCTAACACCCTACAGTTGGTCTGGGCAGCAGCGTCCCTCTTCAGCTTCTGACATTGGGTACTGATATGACCATGCTCTCCGCAATTGAAACAAGTTGGACCATTATTTTTGCATTCAGTAGCACGATGACCCATCTTGCCACATTATAGCACCTCAGTACCTTATTTTCACATTCATTAAAATAGTGGCCTTGTTCAGCACACCTGTAACACTTGACAGAAGCAGGAGCTCCTACCCCACTTGTCTTCTTCCCATCATAATCCTTTTTTCCCTTTATTAGCTAGGGCATTGTAAGGCTTATTACAGTCTTGATACTTCTTTCCTCTTTTCTTGTTCAAACTCTTGTAGTGAGCTGAATGAGCTTTACTATCTTCTTCATAAATTCTACAGTTGTCCACCAACTCTGAAAATACACAGATCTGCTGATATCCAATCTCCCACTTGATTTTTGGACGCAAATCATTATCAAACTTAATACACCTCAAGAATTCAGTAGCCGATTCATTGTAATGTGGATAATACTTTTCCAGTTCTACCAACTTCGAAGCATACTCAATCACAAACAAATTCCCTTGTTTCAACTCTAGAAACTCAATCTCTTTCTTCTCGCACACATGCTCTGGAAATAACTTCCTCAGAAACTCCCTTCTGAACACAACCCAGGTAATTGCTTCACCTAATGTTGTCAGTCTCTGACGAGTACCAACCCATTAGTCATCAGCTTCCTATACCAGTTGACGCATACCAAACTGCACCTTTTACACCTCTGAGAAATCCATGACTCGAAAGATCCTCTCAATCTCTTTGAGCCAGACTTGTGCTCCATCATGATCTAACCTACCCTTGAAAATGGGTAGATGATTCCTCTAAAACTTCACTAAAACATGAGATCCATCATTAGGCTGATGTTGCACAGCTTGAGCCATAGCCAGCAAAGCAACAACAATCGCAACATTGTTTCTTCCAGCCATTTCTCTATTTCACATTAATAACATTTATAGGGGTTAGAAACTATCTCGGTAGTATTCCAATGTCATACACTACAAACTCAATAACCTGATCAGACATACCGACATGTTATGATACCACTAATGTAACACCCTTCTAAACTCTAAGAAATATTCATAAATAATTCATATAATTAATCAGAGTAGTCACCAAAAGGGTGTCACATCTTCATATGAAACATCCTGCCCCGTAACACGGGTTCTCAAAATCATTTAAGATAAATACGTCCTTAGTAGCATCAATTCAATACTTCAAAACTTTGCAGCAGAATCATTAGTTTAAATTATCTTATTATCAATTCTTCATAAAATCTAATCATACTTCATGATTCATAAACAAAACTCAAAATAACTAAGTACCATGAAAGGTAAACCAACGTCTTAGAAACAAAACAAAGGACATAAGATTCATTATTCAGACGATCCAAACCCCGATGTTACATATCAGAGCAAGACCCAATTTATTCTACGAAAAGCAAATAGACACACTCTGAAGCTATCTTCTAATTCTTCAACGACTACTCCTAATCAGATGCGCGTAATCCACGTGGATGCAACATTCAAGAAGAAAGAGTGAGTAAATCATATCATTATAAAATACATAAGGAATAAATATAGTAGATATGCACATAGGTAAGACATCACATGTCATCAAAACCTCATGTTATACTCACACCTCCACGACCTCACCAATACATAACATCATATCATCAAAACAGCATAATTACAACAAGAATCATTAAATCACATCATTATGAAATGTCACTTATAAAAAAATGCAACATCACCGACCCATACATGTGGTACCGAAACTTCACTGATGACTCAGTCATCGTTATCTCCAAAGATCCCCACCATATGATCGATTTCCACTTGGAACCAGCGTACTTTACAATTTTGCACTCAATCCTCAATATGGGATTGATGCCTTCACTAGACGGTTGTCCTATCATCTTCACTAGACTGAAGTCCTAACATCACTGTACCAAAGTCCTAAACTATACCATAAATGCATGATGTGCAACAACAAAATAAATACGACCACGGCTAGTCAAAACACATCATCATTCATGTTTTCGTCACAACATCATCGTCATATCATCATAATAAACATAAGAACATCATAATATCATAATATCATCATATCATCTTAAATAAACAAAGCATCATTATAATATCGTCACATCATTATAATAAATAAAACATCGTCATAATCCAACACGAGGAACTAAACTTCATCCTAGTTTAGGTATTGGGAATATATTTTTTATTTATCATTTTATTCCATTCAAATAAAGTTCATCGCGTCAGCTATCCAACACTTCGAATGACACCTCAAACCGAGTCCTAAAACTCAAGTTACGGCAGTGAAGTCACCATTTTTCCTGTAGCGGTAAAATCAATAAAGTCACCACCGAGTATTTATTTATCCCATATAAAGGGAAAGGAAAATCATCAAAGAAAAACCTGAAGGTAGAATTCAAGGTCTTGCGACCGAGATATTGGATACGGGAGTCAATTACGTGAGGGGAAGGTATTAGCACCCTCACGTCTGTAGTACTCTACGGGATCCACTCTTGTTGTTCTAATCAAAGGGTGTGTTCAATCTAATTCTTAAGACCTAAAAGAAAAAATGCTAAGAGGAAATTCATGCAAAGAAGACATGGGGAAAAGAAGGAAATATTTACAAATTTTCGCTCGGCTGAGCCCCGTGACCAGATGCCTACGTATCCCTTTTAAGGAATCAGAGCGTCGTAGTTTGGCTCACAAATTTCTATTTCTTTGTATTTTTTTAATGAACGATGTTAAATACGATGTTAAATTCATTCATTCCATCTTCACTCGACCATTGGAGACTCACGCACTATAGTGGAAAGGAATCAACATGTTCTTAGAAGAGAAAAGCCGAATGGAGAAAAGAAATGAATTGGTTGGTATTTTTTACAATAAAGGGACTTTTGTATGTTTAGCATGCTTTATCCATTTTCCAAGAAAAAGAAGTTTTATTTTTAAATGCAGTTATGAAAAATGGGAAGAAACCATCTAAGGGAGACTAACCTATCTCTAACCTAGTGTTATCATACAATGATGGCCCTATGTCAAGGATGGAAAGCGAAATCTCTACCCTATGTTAGCTTGCATGGATAACTATCCTAATGTCTATCTCTAAAGCTATCCTAATCAATAAATCCAAAGGGAACATGCAAAGATCGAAGTCATTATCTCAATTCTAATTGAGTGACATCATCGATCGTCAACAAAAGAAAGTGAAAGTTCTAAGGGGAGCATGCAAAAGATCGAAGTCGTTATCTCAATTCTAATTGAGTGACATCATTGATCATTAACAAAGGAAAGTAAAAATCCCAAGGGGAGCATGCAAAATATCGAAGTCGTTATCTCAATTCTAATTGAGTGACATCATCGATCATCAACAAAGGAAAGTAAAAATCCTAAGAGGAGCATGCAAAAGATTGAAGTCGTTATCTCAATTCTAATTGAGTGACATCGTCAATTGTCAACCCATGATAACAAACACAAACACAATTAGCAAACAGGTGCAGAATGCCTGCTACAGATCTTTAAAAAGCAACTTCGAGCGCACGCTCTTTATTTCGTACTTCTCATGATATTTAGAAAGCAATAAAATGCGGAAAGATAAATTGGAAGCAACATAATACCAAACGAACAATAATGTCGGCAAAAAGCACAACCAAAGCAAAGAAACTCAGAATACTTCGCGCGAGCTGGCATCAACAAACAAATACTCAGAGATCGAATGCTCAGAATAAGTGTGGAAGAATCATAGATGTGAAAATAAATCACAATCGGAAACTCAAACATGTCCGCATATCTCACACTAAACATGCATAAAACTCAAATCTCGACAAGGAAAAGTGACACATGAAGTCTTGGCAACAAAGTGATTATTTAAACATAAACTATAATAAAAAATTCTAACAAAAATTCTAAAATAAGAAAATCTAAAGAAAATTCTATTATGTTCTAATATTTTTAATTGTTTTTGGTGATACACTCTAATACTATTTTTTTATTAAAAGAAAATTGAACAAGAAAGAAAAGTTAAAAAAATAGAGAGAGTCAGAGGATGTGGAATGGAAACCAGAGGGGTCAGTTCTAACGAATATGGCACTAAGCCCACCCGTGCAGAAGGTTTTTTTGTTATGAAAATAGCTCCCAAAAAAAAGATCAGGCTGGCTTAAGGTGCAAGCCCAAACAGCAAGTCCATGAGGCGTTTTTTTTAAACATTAACCAGGTGAACAAAAAACTAACGGGCCTAGCTGGGACGTGCAAGCCTGGTCCATGAACAAACAATCATAAAAAATGATGGTGGGCTTTGGGAGAGTTTCGGCCCAGAATCCACACAACAACATCTTTATTTTCACATTTTTATAACGGATAAAAAAATGGTGCACTAGCTGAATGTTAGGGTTTTTTTTATGAGACTTTCTAACTTCCTCTCTCAAACACGATAGCTTCCTTCTTCAATCTCACAGCGGCGGATCAAACTCCACCTTCCTCCGTCGTCTCAATCTCTCTGTCGCGTTGCAACTCCCTCTGTATACCTCTATCTCAACTCTCTTAATCTCGCATCTCTCTGTCATCTTCATCTCGTCTGCAGCAGCGACGCTCAAACTTCAATTTTCCGTCCTCTTCAAGCTCTGCTCACAACATCTCCAACCTCTCTTTCATTTCAAGTTGTCTCGCTTTCATCTCATCTCCGATTTAACCTTCCGCTTCGCTCGTCTCAAACAACTTCGTGAATCCGTGATTGCTCACCACTTTCGGATTCTATATTCAACATTCTCAAGAACGATATCATACTATAGTGACGGCAAAATGTGAATGTGAAAAGGATTTGGAATTTTACCTCTCAGCATTGAATTCTTTTTGTTTTAATCAACTATCCTTGAGAGAAATTTCACGCACTTTGCACTCATTTTCCAATTTCTGTTTTTATCAAACCTCAAACTGGTTTTAAAACTGCAAGCAGGCCGCTCATTGAAGAGTAATGCAGATCAATTTATGAACTGGTTTTTAGCTTGAACTGAATCAATATTAATTGTTTTTTATGCATACCAGCTTTGGTATAGTATTGATCATTGAGTTTTATTTTGTAAAGAATGGACTTGGTTTGGAGAGGAAATTGCACGGTTGTCTCAAAAGAGCCTTGGCAAAGAAGATGAAGATCATGTCTTAGGATTAGAAACAAGATTTTTTTGTGTAGTTTTAATGTATGTGAATTGGTATTATATTTTGGAAGCACATTTGCAGGGAAAAACTTATGATTGGATATTTTTTTCTCTATTTGATGCAGGGCTATTTCGACATATTTCAGAGCAAAGTCGATACTTCGAATAAGGCATTCGTGTTAGCTTTAGAACAAATTAGTCCATGGAAAACAAGGTGTTTGGATTGGATTGGATTGGATTTCTGGACCGGTTTAGCTTAAGCTCTGCATTTGGAGATTCTTCATTCTGCCATTTCGAATTATTTTCCTATGCCTTTATTATGAACCGATACTGGCCTTTTATTTCTGATTTTTCTTGTTCAGGTTTTAAGACAGATTGCAATGTTTTGAAACAGGGCAGGGCTGATCGTTTTGCGCTAGGTGTGGTTTAAAATGATGTAGTGCAGGGGCTGTTCTAAATTCAGAAAGCGAGGAGCCATCTGAAGGATTCGTGTCGGAAATTTCATGAAGATGGAGCAACACCAAATTACTTGACTTGCTATAGCCATTTTGTATACATTTTGATTTTTTGAATGATGATAATGATATTAGTTTGTAACTGAATTTGACTATTATCTTGGATGAATTTTGATTGTAATTAAATTTTTTTGACAGTTTGAAAATGAATTCAGATGAAATAATGACATCTTAGATTATGAGCTTTAACTATTGTTCTGGACTGGGCCCGACAGGCCCAAAAGCATTACTAAGGCCCAGTCCAAAGGGACTCACTAAGGACCACACTGGGCAAAGGGGGCCACGTCCATGCCCGACACCCTGATGTCCACCTCGACATCTCGTTGTCTAGCCCCACGATGAAGTCCTGCTCGACAGCATGCCGTCCAGCTCTATGTCCTGGCTTCCAGCTCGACACCCGACGTGCAGCTCGAGGTCTTGGCGTCGAGCTCGGCACCGTGCTGCGCAGCTCGACCTGGTCTCGAGCTAACTTGCTAGGGCAGACTTAGTCTTCCGTTGTCCCAACGATACTCCGGAAAGACCGCGTCTCCGTCCGCCCACATTTCATGCAGCATACCCAGGAAGGGGACCACGTGCTGGTCCCCACTACCCACGTAGAACCTGGCAGTTCCTCCATTGGGCCAAATCCGCCCAGCCCAATGAAGGAACCTTGGCCCAGCGCTGGGGGCTATAAATACCCTCTGCTTCCAGAGGGTCAGGGATTGATCATTCTAACCTCAACTCTATTATCTGCTAGTACTCCCACTGACTTAAGCATCGGAGTGCCTTGCAGGTACCCCCCCTCCTCGTTCAAAAAGCCTTCAGCTCGGAGCAGCCGTGACGGTCCAAACCTTCTGATCAGGTCAGATCAGTGGCGCCGTCTGTGGGAACAGCTTCCCCGTCTAACGAACAGTTTCAAAGACCAAAGCTCAAATCCATTCACTGTCATGGCCTCTCCAACTCGTGAAGAACAACACACCCGCGTTGTTGACGCCAACAACGGTCCCGCGGACAAGAATGGGCAGCTGGACATTCCCAGTGGTGCCGGCCACAATACCGTTCCCGTGACAACCGCCCCTGGACCTTCCACCCGCAGGGACGGGAACACTGCGTCCTCCTCGACAACTCCTCCAAGACTCGAAGACGACCCGGAAGCCCTCGCCTACCGCAGAGCTGCCCGGTTCCATGAAGTCCCAGTTCCTGCCGGGGCAGATGCCACGACTCAGGCACTGTTCGCGGCCATCAACCAAACGAATTCCCTCCTGTTCGCCCAAGGAGAAAGGCTAAGGGCGCTCGAAAACGATCGACGCCCCCCGAGGAGACATCAAAGGCCACCATCTCCACCTCCTCGGGTCGCAGAAGTTCGACACCCTACTCCCCCACGGAGACATTACAGGGAGGACTCTAGGAGCCCCTCTCCCCCACCAAAGCAGAGGCGGCCCCAATATGAAAGACAGCCCGTTATCCCTGCCGAAGAGCCCGGTCGCGACCCATCAAGGCACGACAGGAGGCACAACAGAGACGGTCGTGTGACCTTCAACCACCGAGCATCACGCTCGAGGGAATCTCAGCACGACCAGCGTGCCAGACACCACTACAGGACCCCTTCTCTTTCTCCAGAAAGGAGCGACGAGGACGACCCCCGCGGTCCCCTGTCGCAGGCAATCATGGACGCACCTATTCCCCCGGGCATGGAGAAGCCCCCACACCTAAAGGAGTATGATGGAGTGGCGGACCCAGTCGACCACATTGACGGGTTCGAAGCCATGCTCCACTATCACAATGTCGGGGGGCCCATCAAGTGCCGCCTCTTCCCAACAACTCTCAGGAAGGCGGCCATGGATTGGTACAAAGGACTTGCCCCGGGCTCCATCACCTCGTGGAGGAACTTGAAGAATCAGTTCATCAGTTCCTTCACGGCTTCTCGTCGCCACCCAAAGACTGAGGCAGCCCTCGAGGCCATCATCCAAAGACATGATGAGACCTTGAGGGAATTCATCAACCGCTTCAACCGGGAAGCAATACAGGTCCCCTGCGCGGACCATATGAAGAGGTATTTGCTGGAGAGGGGCCTCCTCCCCGGCACAAAATTCAGGAAAGCTGTGGGCATTGAGCCACCTGCAACTTTTGATGCTCTCCTCGACAAAGCTCGAGCATATATGGACTACGAGGAGAGAGAAGCTGCCAACACGGCACGAGACTCCAGGGCCCGCAACCATGGAAGCAGCTCGAGACAAGACCCTCCTCCCCGACGCACCGGAGAGAAGAGGAAGGAAGACAGACCCCGGGAGGTCCGGGAACAAAGGGGCCCCTCGGGCCGGTTTACTGAGTACACTCCGCTCACGGCTTCCCGCGAGCGTATTCTGGCGGAGTGTGCAAGCACAGATTTCAAAGACGGTCGCGTCAAGCGTCCCCGACCAGCTCCTGCCAAGCCAGGAGTAGACAAAAACAAATACTGTCAGTACCATAGGAGTCATGGTCACTTGACAGAGGATTGCGTCCACCTGAAGGACGCCATTGAAACCCTCATCAAAGGGGGGAGACTGGCACAGTACAGGAGAAACGACGCTCCCCATCGTGAAGCCCGCGAGGCAAATGAGCCCGAAGAAGATGCCCGACCATCTGACGAGTCGGTGCCAATCCAGACCGCCTTCTCGGTAACCAGGCCCGAGGATTTCGAGCTGCCCGAGCTCCCGCAGGAGCCCCTGACTACACACAGCAGATGGGAATACTTCCCCTCCGCCATGGTCATCAACGGGGGCGGGTTCAACGACCTCACCATCAACTCAGCAAAGAGGAAGTTGGACGAACTGGTCGACAAAGCTCCTCCTCAAACTGTGACTTTTGAAATGGTGAGGGGCAGATCAGAGCCTATCACCTTCTACTTGGAAGAGCTCCCCGGCGGAGCACCGAACGCAGTCATCCCCTTGCTGATAAGGGCAAAGATGGCCAATTTTGACGTGCATCGCATCCTGGTCGACGAAGGGAGTTCCGTCGACGTGATGTACACTCAGCTGTTCCGGACCTTACAACTGGACGACTCACATCTGTCTCCATATATAGGTTCGGACCTTCAAGGCTTCAACGGCTCGACATCCAAACCTTGGGGATATGTCGAGCTCCTCGTGACGTTCGGGGAAGGAACTGCTACAAGACAGGTGAAGGTCCGCTTCCTCGTCATTGACTGCCCGTCCCTGTACAATTGCATCTTAGGGAGGCCGACATTGGCAGAGCTGACAGCAGTTCCCTCAACTGTCCATCTCAAGATGAAGTTCTACACCAAACGGGCAAGGGTAGCCACCATCCAGGGCGACCTCGCTGCTGCCCGCAGGTGCTTCAACGCCGCTTCAAGGGGTCGGGATACTGTCGACGTGGGTCCCAGCACTAGGCCCATCAAGAAGACAAAGCAAGAGCCCGACAGAGCATCTCCTGAGGTAGAAATTCAGAAGGCTCCACCAAAGGTCGACTCCATTGCGCTCGACGCCCGTTTTGACCAAGACGAGCCAACCAGCAGCGAGCAAATCCCCCTCCGACCCATTCCGGACGGCGATTTCGAACTCGTTCCCCTCGGAGCAGACCCGACCAAGGGAGTGAAGATTGGCAAGGACCTCCCCGACTTGGCCAGGAAGCAAATCAAGGCCTGTCTGCGCGAGAATGCTGATCTCTTCGCCTGGAGCGCTGCAGAGATGCCCGGACTCGACCCTGAGGTCGCCTGTCATCACCTCGCCATTGATCCAGCCGCCAAGGCAGTAGTACAACGTAGGCGTAGGCAGTCTCCAGAAAAAACGGAGGCTGCTGAAAAAGCTGTAAAAGACCTCCTAGAGGCAAATTTTATTTCCGAAGCCCGGTACTCCACCTGGCTGTCAAATGTTGTACTTGTTAAAAAGAGTAATGGAAAATGGCGCATGTGTGTTGATTATACCGATCTCAATCGGGCTTGCCCGAAGGATGCTTTTCCTCTACCAAACATTGATATGCTGGTCGACAACTCGGCCGGCTACAAAACTTTGTCGTTCCTGGACGCTTACTCGGGATACAATCAAATCCCAATGGCTCCGGGCGACAAACGCTGCACGGCGTTCATGACTAGCTCGGGCAACTATTACTACAACGTAATGCCCTTCGGACTAAAGAACGTCGGCGCGACATACCAACGCATGATGAACAAAGTGTTCAACAAACAGATCGGCGACATGCTCGAAGTATATATGGACGACATGATCGTCAAATCTCGAGCAGACACCGATCACGCGGCTCACCTCAAGACTGTCTTCGCCCAAGCAAGGCAATGCAAAATGAGGTTCAACCCGGAGAAGTGCACATTTGGGGTTAAGGCAGGAAAGTTCCTCGGATTCTACCTAACAGAACGAGGTATTGAAGCCAACCCCGACAAGTGCCAAGCATTCGCCGACCTCCCAACTCCAACGTCGAAGAAGTCGATACAGATAATGAACGGCATGTTGACATCACTTTCGCGCTTCGTCGCGAAGTCCGCTCAGCACGCCCTTCCATTTTTCAAACTCCTTCGAAAGGAAGCAGCCTTCGAATGGACCGAGGAATGCGAACACGCACTTCGCCATCTGAAGCAGAGCCTGTCTCAACCGCCCGTGTTGTCTCGACCAGATAACAACGAGCCACTTTACCTATACTTGGCAGTATCAAACGAAGCCATCAGTGCAGCCCTTGTTC